GCCTTAAACCTGCATTACTGTAACAGCCAGCAGGGGGCGACACCTGTAAAGTCTGACTGAAGGAGGTTTGTGTGAAGATGAGCCTGCAGAGCTCGGTGAAGTTTCCCTCGTGAGTTTCAGGCCTGAACTAAACGTGATGTCCGTTTCGACGCAGGCGAGGACTCAGGGCAGGGCCACATCTCTCGGTTTCTTGCTCGTCGCGTCCGGCCGGCGATGTCGAAGCGCTCCATCTCGAGGCTCAAAAGTGGAGAGAGGTTTAGGAAAATGTTCTCGTCTCCTCGGGGAGGCTCAGCTCAAGCTGAACATCTCCTCCAGGTGAGGACAGAATAGATGGTGTCTGCGTGTCTGCGTGTCTGGTTGAGGATGAAAGATAATGGCGAGGATTTACTGGAGGCCGCGGCCGTCTGACGGCAGCTTGTTCTGGGCCACGGAGCTGAAATACCTTTGACTTGGAACGCCGCTCGTCTGTTTCCGTCCTCCCTCTGCAGCGTGAATTATGTCGAGATGTCAAGATCATGTTAGGATGACACATTTTCCACCAACGAGACTGAAACGTGGAACATTTTTCTGCCGAGCATGTGGACATTATTTATAGTTCTTACTGCTGAAAATCCAGATTTCATAACGCAGGTCGTCACTCTCGTTCTCGTGCAAACACTTGCTCCTGTACAGTTTGTCCTTGGCTCCCCGCTCGGTCTGCTCTCCCATCCTTCATCTTTATATTCTCAGCCTTCGTGGACTCTCAGCGGGCCTTCAGAGGAGATGAGGTGTGTTAGAGTGGGATGAAAGAAGACGAAATATGGAAATACAAAGATATTAGGAACGCTGAGAAACTGATCAAGTCTTGGTGACTAAAACTCTGCACAGAGCTGTGGGAAAGTATCTGATATTAGACAAAGGAAACCACAAAACCACTTTTCAAATCAAACCTACCTGCCCTGTGTGCAAAAGTAACTGCCCCTACACCTGGTAACTGCACCAGCAGAAACAGCAGTGCTGTGTTTGTGATGCCTTCAGTGAGTCTTTCACATCTGTGGAGAAACTTTGGTCGACTCATCTTTGGAGGATTGTTTGAATTCAGACATGTTGGAGGTTTTTCCAGGATGAACAGCTGTTTAAGGTCATTGTCCTGCTGCCCGAGTGCTCTTGAGCTTCATGAACTGATGGGAGGACTTCCCCCTTCAGGATGGCGGCAGCGAGTCGTCCTGGAGCAGCAGAGCAGCCCAGACCACCATCACTGCTGCTGCTGTGATGGCGTCTCATCGGATGTGACGGGGCTCCTCTCTGGGATCATCCAGATGTTTTCTGGCAGATGTGAGATGAGCCTTGGGCAGCAGTGGTTTTCTCCTTAAACTCTCATGGAGGTCATTTCTGCCCCGTCTCTTTCTCATTGTTGAATCATGACCTCTGACCTTAACTGAGCAGAGTCGATGTTGTTCTGCGACCTCCTGGATGTTGAAGCCGCTCCTGCGAAG